CAGGTTTATAAAATAAACCGAAAACATTTGTTCCACAAACTCCGCTTCCTGGAAAATTATGTATTGTGTGCATTTTATTGTGTGTTATCTATTCCAGTTTCAATTTTGGACTCTAGTAATTTTAGTTAACCCAAAAGTCATCTTGTACAAGATGATACTTTTGGGCTAACAAATAATATTTTCTGTTGAAAAGCTTAAAATAAATATGAAATAACAGAATGAAGAAAATGAATATGTAAGCCCATTTTTTTGTTTATGACTAGGAAGATATTACTAATCTTTTTCTCTATTGTTCACCTGAAATTTAATGTTAGTCCCAAGAAATTAATATGTTTTCAATGTCCACTAGTTGTACCAATTTAGAATAAATCGATTTCCTAGTCATTCTTATTGCCCTGTTCATACACATCCATCTAACTTTATTGCGTAACGGTTCATTTCCTGGTGGTAGGCTTATGCGATAAATGGTCATAGGGAACACATGTATTCTCTTGCATTTCATTAAAAAATCCAGCTTCGCTCTAGCCTTAGTAAGGCTGACGACGATTTTATGATAATAATTAGTCGGCATCACTTAATAATTATATAATCTCCACTGCACATCGGGTTGTATGTAATAAAATAAATCTGACTTACGGAACCTGTAACTGATGCGTATCACTTTTTCTTTCAAAAACCAAACATTTTCATAACCCCTTCTGGTTTCTTCATCAGGATAACAGCTGGATCGAATAGCAAACAATGAATTCAAAAAGTTTGAATAAATCCGAACTTCTTAGAGTTTGAATCATTCCATTCGCTTAATCAGTCACGTGATATGATTGAAACTGTTCTAATTCGACTGTCGATGTTCAAATTTAAGAGAAAGATCCACAACGTGTTATCTATATATATAAAAATGAATGTATGTCTGTCTGTGTGTCTGTCTTATGTCCTTCATGCATTACCACACCGCTTATCCGATTGCCGTGAAACTTTGGGAAGTTGTTTAATATACTCCGGGGAAGGTTTGTGGCATAGTACGATAGCCATAAAACTTCGGAAAGTTTTTTAATACACTCCCACGAATGTTTTTGGCATAGTACATTTATCCTACGATAGATGGCGTGCGTTTACACCAGCATTCGAGCACACTGTGTTCGATCGATTTCAAATTGTGAAGACCATTTCCCCCTTCAAAAAATNCCATCGCAACCTATAACTTTCATCGTTAATATAAACATTCAACCCTCGAACAATGACATTCCTCTGCTGCAAGACAAAAAGTTTATAGTTAAAGTCCGAATTCGTCATTTTGTTTTGGTCCCGGGAACAACTTTGACCTACACACCTGCAGGACCAACTCTATCTCACACAATAGGAGATCACCTGACTGATTTTCCCAGTCCGAAGCTATAAAAGCGACTTCTTTCCCCCTCCTCGGGGGAGTCTCACATCTATGGTCTAAAAGGATTACGTCTCCGGGAAACTTTAACTTTGTGCTTCGAACTCTGTGCCTACGTTGAAATCGACTAGAGGTATGAACAAATAATTGTAAACTCTCTCTCCGCGAGTTAGGAGCTAATAGTGAGCTAAATTCATTTCCCCATGTTAGATTTTGTAACCTATTTTTTGTTTCGTTAATCTAATAAAATTGTTGTTCTCATTGTTAAATGGTGTCCTTTTACTCGTATATCGCCTATGCCTCGTCGACGACCCCTCTCACCTCCTCCACTCAATCTGACAAAAACCATCCCGCCCCTTCGGGACCGCATTTGAAATTTAGCCATCTTGACAAGTGAGCAGGTTTAACGACCTGTCGCCGAAAAGGGAGAGTCAACGGTTCCCGACCTCCCCGGCGGTTCACACCAGCTTTGGAGGAATGGAACTGCGGCATAAACTGAGGGCTACCTGCACTGTAATGAAATATTGTAAAAGCAATTGTGAATATACAAATGTTTTGCAAATAATCATGTGTCTGGTCACAACTTATTTAAATAAGATTTTTAGTGTTCAAATATATTCTATTAATGTCAATACTTTGTCAAACAACAAATGAACAAAAAATTATGCATATAAAATTAACATAATAGAAAATAAAAGTTAAAATATCTTTCAAAACTATAGATTTTCAATAAAAATGTTAAATTACAAATAAGAAAAAGCATGAATATAGAGAGTTACCTGTATTGTGATACTATACGGCATATGAAGTTAAAAATATCTCTATATGACTTACAATACAGTTTCAATTTGAAGATTCAATTTAAATTATTTATTACATATGGTTTATATGTTTATCATAATATACCATTTCTATCAACAATAGTCAAATATTTCTGTTCATTGTCATTATTCTTCATTCTGCAGATAATTTTTCTTTTCCACAGAAACTGATACAGAGATGATAAATAAAAATGACATAAATGCAACTTTTAACTATATCATTTATAATTTAATTTTGGTTAATTTGACAGACTTATTAATAATTTTCACTTGTTTCTTAATTTCATTAATGTTTGTAAATGAATTTATGAAATTTTTTTCTCAAAGATAATCAGTTTTATATAAAAATAAATATTCAGTTGATGATGGTCTATATTTAATATAACTTTCTGTTAATATGAAGAATTCATTGTCCATAGATTAATGATTCCCACTAATTTATTCAACATGATTTTAATATTATTTTCAATACTTTAAATATACAACTATTTTTATCATAAAATTTAATTTTCTCTTCAAATTTTTTCTTTATTATTGTTCTTTATGAAGCTGATCATATTGCTAGAAGTTGTTATTTTTTTTTTTATAATTTTAATGGAAATATTTATATTATTTGTATAATTTATCTGTTTTTGCATTATCCAAGAATATAATAGAACAGTTTAAATCATATTAAATCAGTGTTGTTACTCTTCTGCTTGTTTTTAATAATTTCAAATTTCTCTGGAGTCTAGCAAATTTCAGATAAAATTATTTAATAATTTTATCTGAAATTTATAGTGATGAGTGATTAGTAATATCAATAAATGATACTGCAGGATTTTAACTGGGCTATAGTATTGCTATATAATTATAAAAATGTTAGATAACTTGGACTAAAAATAAATAGTTAAGCCACCATATTGTGTTAAATTAATAATCAGAAGTAAGTAAATTAATTTAGAATATTCTGAAACAAAAAATCAATTTGAAGTAGGACTGAAACCTATAATTCCAGCTTACCATGGAGATTTATTGTCAATTGTTACCTAGATTTCTGCATACTCTTCACTTCCAGACCAAATTAATTAAAATATACAAGCATACAGGTCACTCATCACACCAATTACAAACAATTATACACTTGGCCCTCCATGGCACTCAGCTGACTTATGCAAAGTATTCTAAATTAAATTGGTCTGAAAGCAAAGATCAAACAAAGTTCTAGGCATCATAATTGAGAATACATCTTTATGGTAAGCAAGAGTTGCAGGTTTGAGTCCTATACCAGATTAGTCAGAAAAGATTGATCCAGAATATTCTATATTAATTTATTTATTTCTAATTATTAAATTTAACAGAAGACAGTGACTTAATTGCCTACTTTTAGTCCAAATTATGTAATATCTTTATTTTTAATTAGCCATATTGAAATCTGGTGGTATTATTTGTTTATTACTTGGTTTATATGTAATTATATTATTAATATAGCTAAATCAAGTCTGATATCATTTAGAAACATCATATCTTTTATTAAAACAGATGCAATCTATATAAATATCATTTTGTAAATCTTTTGAAAAATTGAATAAATAAACAAACAAATAAATAAATATATATATATTTTATACATAAAAATCTAAAATTNAACTAAAATTTCTTTATTATTTATTTCCTTTAACCTTTTTTAAAAGTCACCAATCCTACTTTTACATTTATAAAACACTATTGGAATACATGATGCAGATATATACTGCCCAAAGACAACAGACTAATTAGCTAACTCCAAAAAATTTTAAAATCAAGTTTAAAACTTATCATCATGTTTAATTAGTATCATACATTGATACCACCCAATATATAATGTGAAAAACATTCAGTAATTATTGCAGAGCATTTTTCATGCAAAGTATTGAGTGATATCAATGTAAAATACTAATTAAGCATGATGATAAGTTTAAAACTTGATTTTCAACTTTTTGGAGATAGAGCATTTTGCATTTGTACAGTACATATTATACAAATCTACTCCATGTTTTTGAATATCCTTGCACAAAGTATCAATGCTATATACTTTTGAAAGCTTGTAAGTTATCATTGGCAGCTTTAGCATTTTTTCCTGTTCATCATCTTTCTCTTCATTAATGTCCAAATTTTCTATAGCCATCAAGTCTCTCAATTTGTGGGTTCTGCAGCTGTCTGGTGCAGTATGTTCTCAGTGTTTTCTGCCATCATTTCTTAAACCCCTCACCAACCATCTGCTTTGCCATCTTTTATATTATTATATCAGATTATTATTATTATTATTATTGTGTGGAATTCTGCATATACTACATAAACATAAACTTTGACATATATGATTTGGTAGAAGGCATTGTTTCTGTAATGTGGTAACTTCAGTACCAAGCAAAGTAGTTGGCTGTGTCAAAAATTGGAGATAACAGAAAGTACATTTTTTGTAAGTACTGTACAGGTAGCCATCAGTTTACCGCCAGCTCAATTTATGCCAATTCACAATAACACCACTGCGCAATTCATGGTAGCCCTCAATTTATGCCAACACCAAATCACAATAATGCCATGGCACAATTCGCCATTTTGCCGTGTAATTCCCCAGTTTTCCCTATGCTAGACTGATTTTTGTTTCAGTGTTGATGTATTTACTGAGCCGGAATGTTGTACATTCATTAAAACAAAGATTTTTATTGAATATATTTATTTTTTCTGTTTAATATTATTGGGTATGTTTACATTTACATTAAATTAATATTAAAATAAATAAAAATATTAAAATACTAAATGTTTAGTTACCCACATGTACAAGAATAAAGGAGGATTATTATGTCAGATAAAAGAAGTACACCAGAGTTATCTAAACATGTTAAGAAGGCACAGCAATCTATCTCCCTAGAAACAAAAATGGAAGTTATTCGACAAATGGAAAATGGACAAACACGCCCCAATGTCTGTATTTATTTTTATTTTATTTTATTTTCTCAAAAGACACTGGCCAGGTTGGCATTTTACAAGCATCTTAACAAGAAATCAAAACAAACAAACAAAAACAGGACGCGAGCTAAGAAAGAAAATTAATTAACAACAAATATCGTTGAGTCTTAAGTTTTTTTTTCCGGTTTTTTTACATTTTTTCTGAAGATTTCGTAACTCAATATATTACGTAGATTGTTGTACAGACTATTCCAATAGAAGATTAATTGAAAGATCAGTGCAGATCTCCCCACCTCTAGTTTAACAATTGGAAGACTATATTCACGAATTATACGAGTATCTCGTGTTGATTTGCGACATTCACTTATACCAATTCCAAGGAAGCTATTTTCTTTTTTTTCCTTTATATATTTGAAGCCCTCCAATAGAATCTGTTTCTTGTAAATATCACTAATTTTGTCAATATTTTCAGTGCGGTAGAGTTTGGATACTGATTCCATAAAGTTTAAATTATAAATTGAACGCATGTAACGATTTTGTGCTATCTGAAGTTTGTTAACAGCGTATAAAGATGCGGTTCCCCATACAGCGATACCGTATCTTATTCTAGATTCGATACAAGTGTGGTACAGCTGTTTCAAGAGTGATGTGCTTAAAAAAGCTTGAATTTTCTTATTTATCCCAGTATACTTTGCCAGGGAAAGTGCAACATCATCTATATGTTTATTCCAGTGCAGATTGTCATCAAAAGTCACTCCCAAAAACTTAATAGCATTTACTTTTTCTATGTTATAATCAGTTATTTTAATATTTAAGTGATGTGGATTGATTATTTTATTCCTATTTGCAAAGCAGAGGAATTTAGTTTTATTTTTGTTAATTACTAATCCATTGTTTTCCATATAACTGTTTAAAATTTTTAAAATGTGATTTAAATTCTCCTGAAGAATTATAACGTTCGTATGAGCATAAGTTATCACTAGATCATCAGCGTACATCAATATATTCTCTTTTGGTATATAGTTAAACAAGTCATTAATATATATATTGAAAAGCAGTAGACCCAGGATTGAACCTTGAGGAACGCCCTTGTTTGGCCTGAAAGAGCTAGAGATAATCTGCCCAATTTTTACAAAGTAAATTATTGTAGATCTTTGAACTTACCTCCATCGACTGTTACTACCATTATGAAAAATGCAGATAAAATTAAACACTTTGCTCAACAGTCTACGGCAGTAAATGTAAAACATGCGAGTTACAGTAGAGGTAAAATTTTTGAAAAAATGGAAAAATTGCTATTGTTATGGGTGGATGATACAAATCAAAAAATCATTCTCTTGACTCAAGCTGCTATAACTGAAAAAGCAAAATCAATTTTTGATAATCTTAAGGAGACAGATGGAGGTGAAGAAACTATTTTGGGAAGCAAGGGTTGGTTTATGAGATTTAAACCCTGAAGTAACTGTTGTAGTGTAGAATTATGTGGTGAAACAGCAAGTGCAGATGTTGCGGTGGCGGCTGCTTTTCCTAAGGAATTTCAGGGTTATGTAGAACAAGGCAACTATTCTCCAGACCTGATCTTCAATTTTGATAAGACTGGGCTTTATTGGAAAAAGTTACCAGCACAAACTTTTATTTCTTGTGAGTTCTTCATGAGAACGTTCCGCTCCAGGTTTTAAAGTTGCAAAAGAAAGTTTAACTCTTTTGTTGGGATCCAATGTTTCAGGAACTTTGAAACTTAAACCAATGTTAGTATATCATTCACAGACACCATGTGCTTTAAAGGGTCTAAATAAAGACATGTTGCCAGTTTACTGGAAATGGAACAAGAAAGCTTGGGTCATAAAAGATGTTTTCACAGATTGATACACAAGTTATTTTTGCCCTACTGTGCTTTGCTTTTGTGAAAAAAATAAATTACCACCCAAGGCACTTCTCTTGGATGATGTTCCAGGACATCCTCAAAACCTTGATGAAATAAGAACACCATTGGATGTCAAGGTTGTTTACATGCTTCCCAATACAACACCTCTTTTGCAACCAATGGATCAGGGGGTTATTGCAACCTTTAAAGCTTATTATCTCTATAATACATTTATGGAAATGATGAGAGTTTTAGACACTTCAGACAAAACAGTTAAAGACTATTGGTGATCTTTCAATATTTTGAAAAGGTATTAAAAACATCAAGTCGGCTTGGGATGAAGTTTCAGCAAAATGCTTAAATGGAGTTTGGCCTAAACTTCTGCCAGCATTCATGCACGATTTTGAAGAAGTAGCACATCAAGCGAATTTAATTGAAGACATTACCAGACTTGCACGTGATATGGGATTGGAAGATGTTACAACTGAAAATGTGACAGAACTTTTAGAAGCCCATGATCAGCCACTCTCAAATGAAGACTTAGAAGAATTATACAAAGAATTAGATCGTGAATAGTCAGAGAAGGAAGAAAACAAAGAAGAAACTCCAAGAGTTATGAAAACAGCCGATCTAAAGCACATCCTTTCAACTATGGAAAATTTGACAGATGAACTTTGTGAGTTAGACAATGATTGGGAGCAAAGTGCAAATGTATAAAGGAGCATCATCGCATCCATTCGACCATATTCTGAAATTCTTAATAAAAGGAAAAAAATCTAAACAATTAAAGATGAATACTTTCCAAAAAAATGTAAGAGATCCAAAACTTTGAAATATCATTGTTTTTCTTAAGATTTTTTAATAAAAACATTTCACTTTATTTTATCATAAAATACATTTAAAAACTTCAATTTATAATATATGTATTTTGTATTATATTGTATTAATAAACAAAATTATTTGCTTATATTTCACTTATGTAGAACCTAACCCTATACCTCACTGTAAATATGGGTTCATTTTATGCTGATTCGATTTGCGCCAGTGTGAGATCCGACCTCAGAATAAGCCCAAAATTTGTTCATTTTCCCCCCTAAATTTTTGACGTATTTAAAATAAATTTGTCGCCTCCTCGTTAAAATAACATTGTCAGAAAAAAGAATCAAATATCCATCGCAACCTATAACTTTCATCGTTAATATAAACATTCAACCCTCGAACAATGACATTCCTCTGCTGCAAGACAAAAAGTTTATAGTTAAAGTCCGAATTCGTCATTTTGTTTTGGTCCCGGGAACAACTTTGACCTACACACCTGCAGGACCAACTCTATCTCACACAATAGGAGATCACCTGACTGATTTTCCCAGTCCGAAGCTATAAAAGCGACTTCTTTCCCCCTCCTCGGGGGAGTCTCACATCTATGGTCTAAAAGGATTACGTCTCCGGGAAACTTTAACTTTGTGCTTCGAACTCTGTGCCTACGTTGAAATCGACTAGAGGTATGAACAAATAATTGTAAACTCTCTCTCCGCGAGTTAGGAGCTAATAGTGAGCTAAATTCATTTCCCCATGTTAGATTTTGTAACCTATTTTTTGTTTCGTTAATCTAATAAAATTGTTGTTCTCATTGTTAAATGGTGTCCTTTTACTCGTATATCGCCTATGCCTCGTCGACGACCCCTCTCACCTCCTCCACTCAATCTGACAAAAACCATCCCGCCCCTTCGGGACCGCATTTGAAATTTAGCCATCTTGACAAGTGAGCAGGTTTAACGACCTGTCGCCGAAAAGGGAGAGTCAACGGTTCCCGACCTCCCCGGCGGTTCACACCAGCTTTGGAGGAATGGAACTGCGGCATAAACTGAGGGCTACCTGCACTGTAATGAAATATTGTAAAAGCAATTGTGAATATACAAATGTTTTGCAAATAATCATGTGTCTGGTCACAACTTATTTAAATAAGATTTTTAGTGTTCAAATATATTCTATTAATGTCAATACTTTGTCAAACAACAAATGAACAAAAAATTATGCATATAAAATTAACATAATAGAAAATAAAAGTTAAAATATCTTTCAAAACTATAGATTTTCAATAAAAATGTTAAATTACAAATAAGAAAAAGCATGAATATAGAGAGTTACCTGTATTGTGATACTATACGGCATATGAAGTTAAAAATATCTCTATATGACTTACAATACAGTTTCAATTTGAAGATTCAATTTAAATTATTTATTACATATGGTTTATATGTTTATCATAATATACCATTTCTATCAACAATAGTCAAATATTTCTGTTCATTGTCATTATTCTTCATTCTGCAGATAATTTTTCTTTTCCACAGAAACTGATACAGAGATGATAAATAAAAATGACATAAATGCAACTTTTAACTATATCATTTATAATTTAATTTTGGTTAATTTGACAGACTTATTAATAATTTTCACTTGTTTCTTAATTTCATTAATGTTTGTAAATGAATTTATGAAATTTTTTTCTCAAAGATAATCAGTTTTATATAAAAATAAATATTCAGTTGATGATGGTCTATATTTAATATAACTTTCTGTTAATATGAAGAATTCATTGTCCATAGATTAATGATTCCCACTAATTTATTCAACATGATTTTAATATTATTTTCAATACTTTAAATATACAACTATTTTTATCATAAAATTTAATTTTCTCTTCAAATTTTTTCTTTATTATTGTTCTTTATGAAGCTGATCATATTGCTAGAAGTTGTTATTTTTTTTTTTATAATTTTAATGGAAATATTTATATTATTTGTATAATTTATCTGTTTTTGCATTATCCAAGAATATAATAGAACAGTTTAAATCATATTAAATCAGTGTTGTTACTCTTCTGCTTGTTTTTAATAATTTCAAATTTCTCTGGAGTCTAGCAAATTTCAGATAAAATTATTTAATAATTTTATCTGAAATTTATAGTGATGAGTGATTAGTAATATCAATAAATGATACTGCAGGATTTTAACTGGGCTATAGTATTGCTATATAATTATAAAAATGTTAGATAACTTGGACTAAAAATAAATAGTTAAGCCACCATATTGTGTTAAATTAATAATCAGAAGTAAGTAAATTAATTTAGAATATTCTGAAACAAAAAATCAATTTGAAGTAGGACTGAAACCTATAATTCCAGCTTACCATGGAGATTTATTGTCAATTGTTACCTAGATTTCTGCATACTCTTCACTTCCAGACCAAATTAATTAAAATATACAAGCATACAGGTCACTCATCACACCAATTACAAACAATTATACACTTGGCCCTCCATGGCACTCAGCTGACTTATGCAAAGTATTCTAAATTAAATTGGTCTGAAAGCAAAGATCAAACAAAGTTCTAGGCATCATAATTGAGAATACATCTTTATGGTAAGCAAGAGTTGCAGGTTTGAGTCCTATACCAGATTAGTCAGAAAAGATTGATCCAGAATATTCTATATTAATTTATTTATTTCTAATTATTAAATTTAACAGAAGACAGTGACTTAATTGCCTACTTTTAGTCCAAATTATGTAATATCTTTATTTTTAATTAGCCATATTGAAATCTGGTGGTATTATTTGTTTATTACTTGGTTTATATGTAATTATATTATTAATATAGCTAAATCAAGTCTGATATCATTTAGAAACATCATATCTTTTATTAAAACAGATGCAATCTATATAAATATCATTTTGTAAATCTTTTGAAAAATTGAATAAATAAACAAACAAATAAATAAATATATATATATTTTATACATAAAAATCTAAAATTTTTGTAAAGCTTATACGTTGAATAATTTAAGTTAATTATAGAATTCAAGAACAGTACAAAATTATTTTAATTATGTTTAAAAAATATTAATAATTATACCTCACAAACATAACAGTCAATATGAAAGTCTTTGTCCATTGATACTACACGAACTGTTTCATCAGTTCCCTGAAAACAAAGAAATTATATAAAATCTTGTTCAAATTATAGAAAATCTATATTTTTTACTAACTAAAAAAAATTATTTTAAAAATTTTATATTTTGTAATATAAAAAATTAGCTATTATAACTTATATGTTTAATTTTTAATATGAGTAAAGATTTGTATCCTTTTGTAATAGAATAAAAATTAAATTATTTCGTGCTTTGATTAAACATATTAATAAATTTACTAGATTACATAGTAAATTAAGCAAAATTAAGGTATAATAATATGAATTTGACACTAAAATAAACACGGAAATGATTAAATTGATAATTTCAATCATTAAATAGATTAAATATATAAATTTTTAAAGATAGAAAGAAAAATTACAGTTTAGAAGAGATTTAAAATTGTAAGCTTTATGTACTAAACAAACATTTAGCTATCAAAACTAGTAAACATTACTGGTAATAAATTTCACATAATTTAAACAATCTTTTTCAAACAAATCAGAATTCTGATTAGCTTATAACTAGTGGTGGGATTCAGCTGATTCTGTTGAATCACTTCCTAAAATATTTTTAGTTTGGTGATTCATTAAACTAAATTTAACAACTAATTTTAACAATTGGTTCAGTTGTTAAAACTGTACTTGTAATGTTTATTTAGGTAATATATTGCAAAAGTCCACATTTGTCTAAGATTGCCAACTTTTTAATGGGTTCAATGCAGACTGAAGTGGAAGAGAAAGACTTACTGCTTGCTGCTAAATTCAGTAGTGTAACATCAGTGCTGGAGCAGAAGCTGCACACATCCGAGTACTAATTTTAAAGCACCCAATGCTATAGCGATGACAAAACAACATGGCATCTGTAGAGTTGACTATAATCTCCGTGTTCGATGAGTTGTTTAATGTTAATAAATGTAAATGTACTCTTTTGCCAGTGTTCCTTGAAGAAAGATAATGACATTTAACTAGAATGCAAAATTATTTTAATGCTTGATTAAGCTCAACAAGAGTAGTCATCAAACAAGCATTTAAATTCTTATGAATTTATTATTTTTATTTAACAGATTGAAAAGTAGCATTTCAATCAACATTCACAAGTCCATCCAAGAGTGCAGATATATTGATAAAGCAAAAAAAGCACCTTCCAAGGTTGCTGTAAATTAAACTCTCAGATTAGGCATTTGCTATACATGCAGCACAACACAGCAATCTTATTAGCAATGATTTCCCTTTATGCTTCCTGCAGCCACTGCAGCAATGCTGAATTTAGCAATGATCTGTATGCAATACAGCAATAAGTGAGTACTTGGTTGCTGCTGCCATTGCAAATTGAATATATGACATTTTCTGCTGAACTCATAGGCATAACTACAAGAACTAAGCTTATGCACAAACATGTGTTTGTGCATAGAGAAATGCAAGACAATAAATATGTTTCCAGGACAATTTTGCATATAAATATTAAGACATTGATTTCTGTTGCTGGGCAGTCTTGGGTAAGAAGGAATAAAGGATTAATCATACAGCCAATGATCCCTGAATAAAAGTGAAGCAAACCACAGAAGACAATGCCAATCAAGAGGCAGTATAAAAATATCTTAAATCATAGTTTTATTCTTGTTTTTTGTGAGGAATATTTAAAGCTTTTATGTGATATTTTTATAACTTTTTTTTATTATGTTAGGAACTATTTTTAACCAATTGTTGGATAACGTTGATTTGTTCTCATTTGGGTACTTGCAACTGATGGATGCAATGAGGTCAACCCATTTTAAATACTTGTTTTAAGATAGTACTTTGTGTGTTTTAGTTTATTTTTATTACTATTATTATATTTTGTATATTTTTCAATGTGCATAGTGTATTGATGTGAAAAAATATTGCAAGGGCCTGCACATTAAGTATAAAAAACAATATTTATTTATGTTTAAGTGATTACTAGTGAAGCAAACTAGTTGCTAAATTATTTGAATCCCACCACTGTTAACAACTATATTATTTATAATATATTCAACTAAGAATAGTTAATTTCTTCTATACTGGATGATCCACATTACTAAAATTTATTAAAACTGTCAGGCTACATTTAAATCTAACATACTGTTAAATATCTATGTGGTTAAATAGATTTGACATTATTTGAATAATTTATATATAAATAGAAAAATTAGCAGCTGATTATATAGGTAACCACGATTCTTCTAAAGCTTAGTAAATATCAGATTTTATAAATAAAAACAATTTTTTACCTAATATTGATTTTTTAAAATCAAATTTATAACAATATCAAAATGATAAAGTGTTGATAAAACTTACTTCATAATTGTTAAGATTCTATATAATCACAAGTAGAATTGAACAAATTTATTTGTAAAATGATTATGTTTTAGAACTGATAGATATACAAGACTGTTATACAAGATGGCTCAACATCACATGCATGTAGCATGTGATGGATCACTGGTGAGCATTTCAATCTCACTTTCATTGTTGAGTGACTTGCTATTCCCACTACTGATATGTTGGTCTGGAGCTGTCTTGTGACACATGGTGGTTGTCCATTCCTGAACAGAACTGGGATTTTCCACTGAAGATGATGTAATGCCAGTCTGTATCAGGGCCTGCTTCTCAGTCATGACACCACTTCAAACAAAGCTGATAATGGGTTGAGATAAAGTTAAGGTGTTGATGATAGGAAGCATAGTAATTACTATGCAAAAAATTTACTTCTGCTAATTGCTTGTGAATGGTATGGAAAAAAGACAGGGTTCAGTAGTGAGGCTTTACCATTCAGAGATAACTGGGTAAGGATACCATTACAACTATTGTACTTATCTCATGATCAAATGATCTCTCTTGGTGGTCTGTGTGGGATGTCCAGAGCTTGCATGGTATATATGTGTCCTTAGTATCCACTACCTCAGTCAGTTCAGAACAGCCCAGATGATGGTCAATTCAGTGAAATGGCCATCCTGCTTCTCTTAGTCCAATGATGCAGTATTTTTTAAACTCCATCAGTTGTGTGTAATGCCTTTGACTGTGCCATACAGACATGCCTGGCATTCAAAGATCCCTGAACAAGTACACAAAAATTCTAGACACAGCAAGTTTTTTGTAGGCTATTAGGATAATGATTTAAGTACTGTGATGGCATTATCTGGCATGCAATCAGACCACAACTACAGTATAATTATTTATTTACCTGTTTGCTGAGTTTTGCAGTAATCAGATAATTCAATTCATGAATAACCACACCTTAAACACTTTTCCAGCACAGTTTTTCTTTTGACAATGTTTTCAGTTCACTTGATAAGCCTGCTTCAAATTTGTCAAGAATTCCAAATTGGAATAGTAACAGGTGTGACGATATATTAGGAAGCCTGGACAATCTATCCTTTTTTAAAATTTATATGATATACATCATTGTATTTTTTAACATTTTAATTTGGAAATCAGCAAACTTCAACAATCCAATTTTGAAATTTGGAATTCTTGACAGACCTGAGGCAGGTGTTTGGTTCTGACAGACCAGAGCCAAAAATGTTTGTTGAAAGAAAACACTATGCTGGAAAAGTGTTTAAAGGTGTGGTTATTTGTGAATTAAATTCAGTTCTGGCTTTAGTTCTTTTAGACAGATAATTCTATCTTGCATGCATAACTTTTTGTTAATGAGTGTAATATGAAATATCAATATATGAAAAAAACAACACTAATAACTTCTGTAGTGATAGCCATAAAAAGTCACTTGGTGACGTGCCTGTCATGACGTGAATTCTGCATTGCAGTTTGAGGTGAACATATTCTAAATTGATAGGTGTCTCTGCCTGGATATTGGTAAGCACTTTCCATCCATTTTCCTTTCCACCTATGTCCAACTGCAGTATGTATCTTTTACAGAAAAGACTTACTTTTATTGCTTTGATTTATAAAATCCTACAAGTTGTGGTATTACTCTGTGTTAAACATCAAGTAATATAGTCCTTGTCATATTTGTCTGTATTCATCTACAGTTCTCTGTATTCACGTACAAATGTCATCTGTCCTTAAGTTTTGGATATAAATGCACTATACATCAATTTCCAAAAATTATCATCATTATGATGATAGTATTTTAAATTATAATTTACCAAAATAAAATCCCTATTTTATAACTTCTGAGATTGGTTACTAGTAACATGTTTGCTTAATTCTTTAGTATGACTTTCAAAGTTATCATTTCATTAACAGTTCATTCTTTTAGGTTGGCCAAAAAGTTTGTTTGATTTTTAAATAAAAGACACATTTTTAATTTTCACCAATGACTTTATTCATGGTTTTGTTATTTTCTATCATTTTTCAGGCAACTTCATAATTTCATGTTTCCAAAACTTTTTATCTTTTTGAGCAAAGAACTGTACCAAGTGTCTTTTACAGTTTTCCAGGAAATTAAGATTTTTTCAATTAAGAGAATTTTTCAAAGTGAAATAAATGAAAATATGATAATGCAATGTTTCATAAATATGGTAGGTGAATCAGAACTTCCCAGCCAGGATGTAACAGTTTTTGCTTTGTCATCAAAGAAACATGCAGTCTTGCATAATCCTGATGGTAGATTATGTATAATCTACCATCAGGATTATTTCAACTGATTCTAATTCTGGACACTTTTTGTCAAGTGTTGCTGTCAGTTGGTCTAATTGGAAGCAGTACTTGGAGTTAATTGTTAGGTTTTCCAGAAGGAAAACTAAATATTTAACTCCTTTAAGAGGACTCCCTTTGATCCCTATCACCCCTCCATTCCAACCTTACCATCTACACAACATCTTTGCATGAAGACTGGCTTTTGGTGTAGTTTGTGGTGATTCATTTTGCTTGCCACACGATCTCTTCCATTCCACATTATTGTAAAGTATCCACTTTTCATTATTTATCACAATTTGTTTTCAAAATGAAATGTTTTCATTACATTTAAATAGAGAATTACATAAGGAAACACAGTCAAATTTTCAATCAACTTGTATGGAACCCAAACA